AGTCGAAAATGACAAGTCCCTTGTCGGCGATTGCACGTGAGCCTTGGCGGAGGAAATGAGACTTAGGGTGCCTAACACGCGAAGCTGTAACCTGCGCCGCAAAGAAAAGCGCAGGGGAAGCAAACAAGGAGCACCTCCAGTCCACAGAGGAGCGTGTGCATAGTGAGAACGGGAGTGAACACCAGAGCAATAAGTGCGAAAAACAAGGAGAGATTGAAAGGTGAGATCGACAAGTACTGATTAGAGACTGGGAATTATTACCGGTGTGGGGAAGGAAGGGGACAGAGCGAAAGATGAAGACTCGAAAAAAATAAAGGCGCACTTCTATGGGAGAGGGAGAAAGACAGTGAAAAGGGACAAGCGACTGAAAAGAGGTCTGATGTGCGCCCAGCGCGATTCCTAATATTCCATGTCAAGACTGGCCGAGCGAGCATGGTGGCTGTACTTTTTGGGAGACTCCATCAACTGTGAACTGTTTGAGGAGGCGACACGCAGAAAGCCGAGAGCTGTCTTCTCAGAGGACTCCAGAGGCACTGGCTGTGCTCGACTAGACTTGGTTACCTGGGACTCCGCAATACTCGGCTGGGACTCGCAAACCGGTGTCGACTGCATTCCTGAGGGCGGTTTGCTTTTGGCTGCCCTGCCTTGATCATCCTCCTGTAGGGTGGTGGACCAAAAAGAGATGAGAGTCTGAGATTTTTTCAACGCATCGTTCAATTCGGAAACTGATTCCGATGCTAAGGAATTCAAGCAGACAGGTTGTTCTACAAACAATTGCACTACACTTATGCTACTCGCAATAAGTTGACTTCGAATTATCTTCTTAATGTTAAATGTGTTAAACCGACTGGGAAAACAGCCGTTCCATCTTGCTTCGGCATTCTAAACAAAGTACTCATATGTATGGTGAACGTCCATAAAACAGCAATTAGCTCACGGTGCGTGGTAAACAATTTTATTTCCATACTCCAGTTCCCCTTTTTGTTCGTTGCCAGCAACGCTATCTGCCCAGACTACTAGCCGCTATGCAGCTGCTGGCGGGGCTAGAGAGTGAGCTCCAAGGCAGAGCAGGAGGAGCGAGTTACGTCAGTAGCGGTTGGTAAACGTTCACCAACGAGTGTAGTTCTTTTTGTCTGACCAATCCGACCAGTGGAAGGTAGTTTCAGTCAGCGTCCTAGGGCGGAGGATATCAGCGTTAGGGCGTCTGTTAGGTACTTGATCCCAGGTCTTATTAATCAGTATGCCTGGCTGACGATGGATAATAAGCCAGAAATGGTCATTCCAGTATCCCTTGTCTTTGCCGGCAATACTATCGGCCTAAAAGTACTAACCGCTACGGCTGCTGCCAGGGCCCGAGAAATGAGGGGAGGAACATGAGTTCCGTTAGTGTTCGGTGAACGTTCATCAACGATTCTCGATGGCTCCCTAAGTGAACGGACGAGACAACGAACTCGTGGCTCAATGGTTAGAGCGTTAAACTCTGATCGAAAGGGTTGAAAGTTCGAACTTCGGGTGGTATATCACTTAGGGTTGGGTATGACTGGCTGATGACAGCTAATAAGCCACAAATGGCCATTCTAGTCTCCTTTGTCTACCTGCCTAAACTCAGTCTATGTAAGCATAGAGGAGCGATGAGCTGTCAAAGTGAGATGCCAGAGCGGTCGCCGTCTTCTCCCCTTCCCGCCCACCCCCACCTAACTCCTACTTATCGGTACACTCATAGTTTCCTTCTACCAATAAAGCCTGACCCATCCGGACAGTGGGGGTAGCTAGAGTCAGTGTCCTAGAGCAAATGTTAACATAGGGGAGGGGTCTACCTTGACTGGTTCCGTGTCAATGTTTGACTGGTGGACCAGGGTCT